TTGTAATTCACATGGATAAACCCCTCCTCTCCTCTCCAATGTCTCTGCTCTTCAGGGAACACACAAGTAGACTCTGCTTAGCTGAATCCCAACAAGATCTAGTGCAGCCCTTGGTTCTTTGAAGATTCTTCGTGTTTATAGTACTTGAACTGTATTCTGGTTACTCTGGGAGAATATCAGTATAAATAGCTGTGAAACAATTTGAAGAAGTAATGATGATCTATGGGGGCAAAACTTTGTGTAAGGGTCCTGAACTCCAATCTGACCAGTCAGACAGTGTGGCTATAAGTCCTTCCAAGTCCATCTTTGTCCATATGTTCTGTAAAGAAAGGAAAGGGAGTGGATGAGAGGAGGAAATACAAAATCAAGGTCTGAAGCATATGGAGAGACAACAGAAATACATGGTGTATGATGAGCATAAGAATAATGAATGGAAGAGGAACATTGATAAAGGACAGTTGGCTGACATCCAGGGTATGGAGAACACGGCTAAAGTCAACTAAAGTCAACCTAGGCTGCATGCCACAATGACTCAGTTCCAACTGACATTTGTTCAATGCTGATGACCCTGGGGCCATTGCAAGCTAGACAAGTTAGACAAGTACTGTTCTGTGAGCCCTGGTCTCCTAACACAGACTGCTGTGCAAACTAAATGTCATCCACAGATCTATAGTAGCTTTTGATTCTCATTTAGCTGAAAGGATTCAGAAGAAGGTAATGAGAAGGTGAAAGACAGATTGTCACCTTCCTGGAAGGAACAGAGCATCTCTGTTAGCAATGGATATCTCTGTGCTATACACTCACCCAACTGCATGATAGAGTACACTATCTCACTGAATAGAAGTAGGAAGGAAAATTTAGATTCTTATGCTCCCCCAAGCCTTCAGAAAGGTAAATATTGCTTAAGAAATGAAGTGATGTGTAGAAGAGAATATTATGTTAGTGAAAGTTACATGCAGGTAAAATAGTAAATTGATTGAAAAGATGAACCTAAAAACAATAAACAGCGTCTTATTTATGTTGGATTAGGTAATGAGTATGATGGTTGTCAGCCATGACAGGGATGCATCGCCATCCTGCTGAGACCTACAAAGTGTATCTACTCAACATAACAGGAGACTGGACAAGTCAATGATCACTTAAAGGAGACTTTCCTTACCTGAGCCCGAAGTGCTAGTACAGGGATGGGGTTTTGTAATGTGGTTCGTTGGGGAAACTGTCAAATTTGAAACCATGACTGAAACAGAGATTGTGTGCTCAAGATATCATCTATCAGGGGTGGAGGTGGGGTTAATAAAAGATTGCAGTCATTTTCAACACTTAACTATACCATGTTCCCACACTGTCAAACATAAAATGACCCAATTAAAATGACAGAATATACTGAAATCAAGAGGCAAAAACATTAAATATCACGTTTTTTCTCATCTCTTTCTAAATACCTAGTATTGATTTCAAGCAAAGATTCCCAGAAGTGTCTCTTGAATGAAAGAGTATCCTGTCAAGTTGTCTTGCTGTAGGGTGATAAAACATCACAATGCTTTCCCACTCCCTTTGATTTGCACAATTGCAGGTATTTCTCATTGCAAACTCTCTCCATCTACCATGTCGCATTGAAATACTTTCCATATTAGGCACAGTAATAGGGGATCACACTCCTTAGCCTTAGGCACTTCAGAAAAAAATATTAAAATGCTGGATGGATGTTCTAGAAACTCTTTCACTCCTCAGACTGCCTGATCTGAAGTACTCACTTTTTATGAAGATAGAAACTACTTAATTGTCAGTGTTTTAAATGATATATTTGATGTCTAATGCCATCTGCTAGTGTATATTTAACTGTTGTTTGTTCATGCAGAGTGATATTTTTGATGTCACTTGCAATAAAGAGATCCTCTCTCTCCAAGTAAAACAAAGTGTGTTTATAAATGTTCAAATAAGTGGAGGTAATAGTCACTATTATACCTGGTATTCACTAAGAAGCTATGGTTTATGCCCCCTCTGTCATTGCTGTCTATCATGGGGGTCTCTTTCAAGCCTAGCCTCTAAGCTAGCTTTGAGGGAGAGGAGTTGGTGAGTGGGGTAGAGATCTCTGACATAGATCTTCATGGAAGGTCCTTAGGCCCTTGGTGGTATTCCCACAAAAGGGATTGTAGTGCCCCAGTCTCTGACTCTTCTTTGTCTCCTGACTTCTGAGTTGAGCAATTGATTCCACCACTTGTCTGCACTCTGAAAGTGTTATCATGCAAACCTAAAGGTAATAGGTACAATTCCCCTTTGACAGAAATCTCTAGAATGAGAAAAGAAGTAAATCCTTTACCATTTTAAGGTAATTGCCTGAAATTTTTTCCTTGTAGCAACTAAAATCTAATAAACCTTGGTAGCCCCTTTCTCCGTGCATGGACAAACATTGAGACAAAGCATCATGTTCCAGTCTGTTTTGTTGCTAGTTCTGTTTACTTTTGTCCTTTACAATATGCAAATTCTAAAGGAAATGGGACCAGTGTCAAGCCACTGGAAAACTGTGTTAGCATGCAATCCTTATTCTTGTCCCTCTTTCTTTTGAATTCAAGACTTTTATTTTTTTGTCCAGAAACAATTATATACTCATAATATTAGGTCTCTAGAAATTCGCTTTCCCAAAGTATGGCATTTTAGACAAAAGTCAGCATTCCCTCAGGGACTTAAAAAGATAGTTCCTACTTTATAAAAGGAGTTATTCGCTTTATTTCTGGCAAAAGGGACATATGGCTCTTCCATTATCCTATGCCTTTCTTGCCCATTAGCATACCAAGGTCTGTGCTATCCTCTAGGCCCCTCACTTCCTACTCATAAGTATCTGTTAGAGTCATCATGACTGACATACTTTCCTCCTACCTACACCTCCAGCCTCTGAGCTTTACTTACCTTCCTCCAGTTTCTCAGATGCCTAAAAAACCCAAAAACTTTGGATATTCAATCTCTTTGGTGCTCATGGTCTTTCTGTTGGTCCTTGACGCCTGGCTTAGTTAGGGTTTTATTGTGGTGAAGAGACAATATGACCATGGAAATTCATAAAGGAAAACATTTCATTGAGGCTTAAAGTTCAGAGATTCAGTTCACTATTGTCATGGTGGGAAGCATGGCAGCATACAATAAACATGGCGAGGTAGCTGAGATTTCTATATCAAGATCCACAGACAGAAGGAAGAAACAGCCACACTGGGTATGGCTGAGCAACTGAGACATCAATGCCTGCCCCCAGCAACATATTTCCTTCAACAAGGCCACACCTCCTAATAGTGTTACTCCCTATGAGTCTATGGAGGCATATATTTTCAAAACACCACAGCTGCTTTCGTGGCCCCCTCTCCCTTGTCTTCTTCTCTTGCTCAACATCCCCTTTCTCCTCTCATGGCCAGATTCAGTCTTCTGGCCATTTTCAGTGTATATGCTTCCAGATGCCTCTGGCTATTTTCTCCTTCTTATCTGCAATAAACCTTCTCCTCAATTAATCCTTGGGACAGTCATGTCCTCAATTTCTCATTCATGCTTCTTCACACAGTAAAATCTTCAGCATCCCATCTGAGTATACTCTACCAACTACAGTTCTAGTGATGCTGCAGCTCATGTAACACAGTCTGTTTCATGTGTTAAATACACAGATTAACTTGAAAAGAATTGATGGCTTCCAATTTTGTATCTTCTAATCTATAAATCAAGAATATATCTTCATTTATTAGTTTAAGCCATTAATTTGTCTCCGTGATGTTTTTCAGTTCATGTTTAGGTCTAGTAGATATTCAGTCAAACTTATTCCTAAGTATTTCATCTTCTGTGTGATATTTTGAGTCACATTGTCAATATCAGTGCATGCAGTTTCAGTACCCATATATGAGTACACTTTTCTGTGCTTTGATCTTGTATGTATTTTCTGTTACAAGTTGTGGTTGTTTTTCTTCAGGTGTATTTTTCTACATAAACTATGATGTATGATTTGAAGAAGAATTCTCCTTTTTTATGTTACTATCCCATTTTTCTCTTACTGGACTAGATTAAACCTTTGCTGCATATGTGAGTAACATCTACTCTATCTGTACACATTCGTCTTCAGTTGCAATATCCTACATGGAAACAAGCAGGGGAATTTCTATTATAAGGATTAACTGCTTCCTCAATATGGTAAAAATTGTGCCAAAAAGCTACATTTAGGACAGGGAAGTTATCACAATGTGCTGATTTGAAGCAAGATCATATTTCCCATTTTAGAAAGCTTATTCACTGAAGTATTGACAAAGGTTATGATTTCATAAGGCAAGAAAAATACTGAGGAATTCCACATGGAGATGGAAAAGAACCAGACTGGATGGAAATACAGTGAAGATATAATCAGTAGATAAATTGTCTTGAAGGTGTGTCTGAAGTTTGACTACAGAATTTTGACTACATTAAGACAAAGGATTTTAGCCGGGCGTTGGTGGCGCACGCCTTTAATCCCAGCACTTGGGAGGCAGAGACAGGCGGATCACTGTGAGTTCGAGACCAGACTGGTCTACCGAGTGAGTTCCAGGACAGGTTCCAAAACAATAGAGAAACCCTGTCTCGAAAAATCAAAAAAAAAAAAAAAAAAGACGAAGGATTTTTATGAAAGATACCCAAAATACTAGATAATAGGATGAGGATACAACAGTATGATCCTTGTAATAAGAATGGCCCCAAGAAAGGCTTGAAGGAACCCATTCCTGGTAATGTGTACAATGAATATTTAACATAGGGAGATGAGCAAGTCAGCTGAGAACACATAGTTTAGTGTTGATTAGCCACTACAGCTTCTTGTCTTCCTCCATACTACCCCAAGCCCACCACACCCACGAATGTGTAAAGGTTAGGCCTTTGTGACGCCTAAACCATCTGAACGCTCCATTGGCTGGAGACTTGGTATGACCCGAGTGACCTAATAAACCTTGTGGGCGTGGCCACTCACTGCTCTGGAGGGGGTATATAAAGGGCAGTTCAGAACCCTGTGGTTCATTACTGCCTGGCATTGGCATTGGCTACAAGTAGCTATATACTTGGGGGAGTTAGTATAACTAACGATCACCAGGAAGATGGAACAAGAAACTACACAAAGTAAAATCATGGAAAAGACTGAGGTGGAAGAACCTGCCGCTGCTGTTACAGAAGAACCTGCCGCTGCTGTTACAGAAGAACCTGTGGCTGCTGTTACAGAAGAACCTGCGGCTGCTGTTACAGAAGAACCTGCTACTGATGCAGAAGAACCTATTCCGGGAGAAAACAAATGGGATGAAAAGGTCAGACTTTCCTAAGCTCCTCCCCTTTTCCCCATGGGTCTCTGCTCCCATGAAAGCCTCCTTACAAAACCCTTCCTGAACTTCCACTCCCTGTTATAGAGCTCTCCTTGCCTGCTAGCGATTCTCTACACCTTACTCAAACTCTCCTTTTTATTAAACAGAGGGAGACCATAATTAAGAAAGTGAAAGAAGTGGTCGAGAAGAGCACAAACAAGGCCAAGAATCCGACTGTGATTGTCATTTGCTACAGAGGCAAGAAGAAGCGTAACCCGAACCAATCAGACAAAAAGGAAGAGACTCCAGACAATTCTTGCAGTCCAAATAACCAATGAATGACTGTAATCACATACCTCAGCAGCCCTGCACGATCTCCAGCAGGCTGCAGAGATCTACAAGACTGGTCTGATCAATAAAGAAGGAATAAGATATAGCAGAAGAAACTTTGTAAGAAAGTTCTTTGATGGTTAGAAAGAAGGCAGCTGGGGAAACAGTAAAAGAAAGCGGAAGAGATGGGGAGGGGGAAGGGAATGTTGGGATAAGAAAAGCTTGGGGAGTGAGGGGATAGTTGAAGAAGGTAGAGAGTGGTAGGAATGAGGGGGAGGCTTAGAAGAGAAGAGAAGGTAAGAAGAAGAAAACCATAGAGAACAGCATAGAGGAAGAGGGGAGAGAGGAAAGAAGTCAGAAGAGAACAGAGAGTTGGCTGAGGAAGGGAAGAAGGAGGGGCCAGAACCAAGAAAGAAGGATAGGGGAAGAAGTGGAATGAAGAAAGGGAAAATTAATGAGAGAAAAGGACATGTAATTTTAATGGAGGGAACAGAGATGGGAAAGGAGAGGGCTAGTAGAGGGAAGGGGAAGGGAAGGGGGGGAAGGGGAAGGGAATGGAAGGGAGGGGAAGGGAATGGAGGGCAAGGCAGGGGAGGAAAAGGGAGGGGGAGGGGAATGGAAAGGTGGGGAAGGGAAGGGAATAGAAGGGTGGGGAAGGGAATGGAAAGGATGGGAAGGGAATGGTGGAAAAGGGAGTGGAAGGGAAGGGGAGGGGAGGGGAACTGAAAGGAAGGGAGGGGAGGGGGAGTGAATGGAAGGGAGGGGAAAGAAATGGAAGGGAGGGGAAGGGAAGGGATGGGAGAGGCAGAGAATGGAAGGGAGGGGAAGGGAATGAAAGAGAGGGAAGGGAATGGAAGGGAGGGGAGGGGAAGGGAATGGGAATAGAATGGAGAGGAAGGGAGGGGAGGGGAAGGGGAATAGAATGGAGAGGAAGGGAGGGGAGGGGAATGGAAGGGAGCGAAGGGGAAGGGAATGGAAGGGAGGGGAGGGGAAGGGAATGGAAGGGAGGGAGGGGAAGGGAATGGGAATAGAATGGAGAGGAAGGGAGGGGAGGGGAAGGGGAATAGAATGGAGAGGAAGGGAGGGGAGGGGAATGGAAGGGAGCGAAGGGGAAGGGAATGGAAGGGAGGGGAGGGGAAGGGAATGGAAGGGAGGGGAAAGGAATGGAAGGGAGGGGAAGGGAATGGAAGGGAGGGAGGGGGAGGGAATGGAAGGGAGGGGAGGGGAAAGAAATGGAAGGGAGGGGAAGGGAAGGGATGGGAGAGGCAGAGAATGGAAGGGAGGGGAAGGGAATGAAAGGGAAGGGAAGGGAATGGAAGGGAGGGGAGGGGAAGGGAATGGGAATAGAATGGAGAGGAAGGGAGGGGAGGGGAAGGGGAATAGAATGGAGAGGAAGGGAGGGGAGGGGAATGGAAGGGAGCGAAGGGGAAGGGAATGGAAGGGAGGGGAGGGGAAGGGAATGGAAGGGAGGGGAGGGGAAGGGAATGGGAATAGAATGGAGAGGAAGGGAGGGGAGGGGAAGGGGAATAGAATGGAGAGGAAGGGAGGGAGGGGAATGGAAGGGAGCGAAGGGGAAGGGAATGGAAGGGAGGGGAGGGGAAGGGAATGGAAGGGAGGGGAAAGGAATGGAAGGGAGGGGAAGGGAATGGAAGGGAGGGGAGGGGGAGGGAATGGAAGGGAGGGGAGGGGGAGGGAATGGAAGGGAGGGGAGGGGAAAGAAATGGAAGGGAGGGGAAGGGAAGGGATGGGAGAGGCAGAGAACGGAAGGGAGGGGAAGGGAATGAAAGGGAGGGGAAGGGAATGGAAGGGAGGGGAGTGGAAGGGAATGGGAATAGAATGGAGAGGAAGGGAGGGGAGGGGAAGGGGAATAGAATGGAGAGGAAGGGAGGGGAGGGGAATGGAAGGGAGCGAAGGGGAAGGGAATGGAAGGGAGGGAGGGGAAGGGAATGGAAGGGAGGGGAGGGGAAGGGAATGGGAATAGAATGGAGAGGAAGGGAGGGGAGGGGAAGGGGAATAGAATGGAGAGGAAGGGAGGGGAGGGGAATGGAAGGGAGTGAAGGGGAAGGGAATGGAAGGGAGGGGAGGGGAAGGGAATGGAAGGGAGGGGAAAGGAATGGAAGGGAGGGGAAAGGAATGGAAGGGAGGGGAAGGGAATGGAAGGGAGGGGAGGGGGAGGGAATGGAAGGGAGGGAGGGGAAAGAAATGGAAGGGAGGGGAAGGGAAGGGATGGGAGAGGCAGAGAATGGAAGGGAGGGGAAGGGAATGAAAGGGAGGGGAAGGGAATGGAAGGGAGGGGAGTGGAAGGGAATGGGAATAGAATGGAGAGGAAGGGAGGGAGGGGAATGGAAGGGAGCGAAGGGGAAGGGAATGGAAGGGAGGGAGGGGAAGGGAATGGAAGGGAGGGGAAAGGAATGGAAGGGAGGGGAAGGGAATGGAAGGGAGGGGAGGGGGAGGGAATGGAAGGGAGGGAGGGGAAAGAAATGGAAGGGAGGGGAAGGGAAGGGATGGGAGAGGCAGAGAACGGAAGGGAGGGGAAGGGAATGAAAGGGAGGGGAAGGGAATGGAAGGGAGGGGAGTGGAAGGGAATGGGAATAGAATGGAGAGGAAGGGAGGGGAGGGGAAGGGGAATAGAATGGAGAGGAAGGGAGGGGAGGGGAATGGAAGGGAGCGAAGGGGAAGGGAATGGAAGGGAGGGGAGGGGAAGGGAATGGAAGGGAGGGAGGGGAAGGGAATGGGAATAGAATGGAGAGGAAGGGAGGGAGGGGAAGGGGAATAGAATGGAGAGGAAGGGAGGGAGGGGAATGGAAGGGAGTGAAGGGGAAGGGAATGGAAGGGAGGGAGGGGAAGGGAATGGAAGGGAGGGGAAAGGAATGGAAGGGAGGGGAAAGGAATGGAAGGGAGGGGAAGGGAATGGAAGGGAGGGGAGGGGGAGGGAATGGAAGGGAGGGGAGGGGAAAGAAATGGAAGGGAGGGGAAGGGAAGGGATGGGAGAGGCAGAGAATGGAAGGGAGGGGAAGGGAATGAAAGGGAGGGAAGGGAATGGAAGGGAGGGGAGTGGAAGGGAATGGGAATAGAATGGAGAGGAATGGAGGGGAGGGGAAGGGGAATAGAATGGAGAGGAAGGGAGGGGAGGGGAATGGAAGGGAGTGAAGGGGAAGGGAATGGAAGGGAGGGGAGGGGAAGGGAATGGAAGGGAGGGGAAAGGAATGGAAGGGAGGGGAAGGGAATGGAAGGGAGGGGAGGGGAGGGAATGGAAGGGAGGGAGGGGAAAGGAATGGAAGGGAGGGGAAGGGAAGGGGAATGGAAGGGAGGGGAGGGGAAGGGAATGGGAATAGAATGGAGAGGAAGGGAGGGGAAGGGAGGGAAGGGGAGGAGAAGGGAACAGGAAGGGAGGGGAAGGGAGGGGAAGGGAGGAGAAGGGATGGAATAGGAAGGGAATGTGAAGGGAGGGGAGGGAAGGGGAAGGGAGGGAGGGGAATGGAAGGGAGGGAGGGGAAGGGAATGGAAGGGAGGGGAAGGGAATGGAAGGGAGGGGAGGGGAAGGTAATGGGAATAGAATGGAGAGGAAGGGAGGGGAGGGGAAGGAGAATAGAATGGAGAGGAAGGGAGGGGAGGGGAATGGAAGGGAGCGAAGGGGAAGGGAACAGGAAGGGAGGGGAAGGGAGGAGAAGGGATGGAATAGGAAGGGAACGTGAAGGGAGAGGAAGGGATGGGATAGGAAGGGAGGGGAGGGAATGGGAAGGGAGGGGAAGGGAATGGAAGGGAGGGGAAGGGAATGGAAGGGAGGGGATGGGAAGGGAAGGGAGGGTAATGAAATGGGAAGGGAAGGGAGGGGAGGGTGGGAAAGGGAGTGGAGGGGAGTGGAAGGGAAGTGAGTGGTAGGGGAAGGGAACAGGAAGGGAGGGGAAGGGAATGGGAAGGGAATGGAAGGGAGGTGAAGGGAGGGGAAGGATGGGAAGGGGAAGGGAATAAAAGGGAGGGGAAGGGAAGGGAAAGGAAGGGAAGGGAGGGGAAGAGAAGGGTGGGGAAGGGAATGGAATGGAAGGGAAGGGAAGGGAAGGGAGGGACAGGGAAGGAAAGGAAGGGGAGGGAAATGGAAAAAGGGAAAGGGATGGGTAGGCGAGGGAAAGGGAATGGAAGGGAAAGACGGGGAAGGGAAGGGAAAGACGGGGAAGGGAAAAGAAGGGGAAGGGAAGGGAGGAGATGCGAGGGATAGGAAAGGATGGGAAGAGAGGGGAAGGGAGGGAAGTGAAGGGGGGATGTAAGGAGAGGAATTGAAGGGATGTGAAGGGAAGGGAGGGGAGGGGAAGGAAGAGAAGGGAAGGGAAATGGAAGGGAATAGAAGGGAAGGGAGGGTTGGGAAGTGATGGGAAGGGAAGAGAAGGGTGGGGAAGGGAAGGGGAAGTGGAAGGGAGGCATGGGAACGGAAGTGAAGGGGAGGGAGGGGAAGGGAAGGAGAAGGGAGAGGAATGGAAGGAAGGGAGGGGAGGGGAAGGGTATAGAAGGGAGGGAAAAGGAAAGGAAGGGAGTGGAGGGGAAGGGAAGGGGAATGGAATGGAGAGAAAAGGAGGGGAGGGGAAGGGAAGGGAGAGGAGGGGCAGGGAATGGAAGGGAGGGGAAGGGAATGGAAGGGAAGGGAGGGGAAGGTAATGGGAAGCCAGGGGAAGGGATGGGATGGGAAGGGAAAGGAGGGAAGGGGAAGGGAGGGTAGAGGAATGGAAGGGAGGGGAAGGCAATGGAAGGGGAAGGAGGGAGGGGGATGGAAGGGAAGGGAGGGGTGGGAGGGGAGGAGGATGGAAGGAAGGGAAGGGGAGGGGAAGGGAAGGGAGGGGAAGGGAAGGGGAGGGGAGGGGAAGGGTGGAGAAGGGAAGGGAGTGGTAGGGTGTGGAATGGAGGGGAGGGGAAAGGAAGGGTGGGGAAAGGAGCAGAAGGGTGGGGAAGGGAGTGGAAGGGAAGGGAATGAAGGGGAAGGGAAGGGGAAGGGAATGGGATAGGAGGGGAAGGGAGGGGAAGGGGTGAGAATGGAAGGGAGGGGAATAGTGGGAAGGGAAGGGAATGGAGGGGAGGGGAAGGGGAAGGGAAGGGGAAGAGAATAGAAGGGAGGGTAATG